TAAGAACTCTCAATACTTGTTGATAAATTTTGGAGGCTTGTAATCTTGCAGATTTCATAAACACAACTTTCTTCCAATGATTGAGATGAATGTAATAATGATAATGACATTATGTATATGCACTGTCATACTATGCGATCGATAGTTACAAAAGTAAGCATAAAAATTCTACTTTCCATCTCCCTAAACAGTAACATATACAGGTATATACGATTATATCTCCAAAACCTTTTCTTTGCTGTCCAATGTTGCTCTAGATCTGATTACTTTAATGGAAACATTTGCAAGTATCTTTTCCAAAAACTATTGACAAGAAATATAATGCAAATCTCTTATCAGACTTGTTTCCAACGAATAGAATCGAAAACAGAATTGCTAAACAATTCTTCCCAATGAGCTATTTGTCGATACAATTGACGAACAACTTATTTTGGCTATTTCCTTTTCCTGATGAGGTATTAAAGACGAGTTAGAATCTTCAAATTATTTTCATGTCATACAATCCACACAAATGATGGAAGCATTGAATATTCTCAGTCGCCAACAAATTCTCCATATAAACTACATATTCGCTCTCGATAAGAATAGTCATTGCTATCAATTAATTTCCAGGACTTTATCCAATTCATCTGAAAGAAACACTTAAAAATGGAATAAACTCGAAAAAAGAAGTCATCTGTAAATCTTTAATGGGCATTGAATAAACTTCCTTTTATGTTCCGATATATGTAAAACAGATATCTTCACAATCTTTATTTCATTCACAACTCAATAAGCCATTCTAAGCACACAAAGATCAGTCTATACTAGAAATGAGCCAGTTGGCATTACTTCAAAACAAATAGACTGAATGACTTTCCATTTCATCTTATTGACTTTTGTTGTTCTTAAAGATGGTGGTCTGTGAGTATTCAAAATTCATTCAAGCCCAAATGAGACACATGTGAAAAGAAATCATACTCAACACAAAGATTCAACCTTTCGAATGGTGAATCGTCCTTCTCTTCCTATCGAATATAGAAATTGATCTAAAACAACATAATATACGATGTTGTTGCTTTGAAATGTCAATCTTTATCATAATATCTTTCTATAAGCACTATTGGCAAATAGGTAACGGAGGAGTTTTATGATTTAAAAAATCCACAAATCAACATTCTGTAAAGCTTCCCCCACTTCTGTAGCAGTTTTGAAATAGTTATTATGGTGGTTTCTTTTCATCGCTACTCGACGATATCTTTTATTACCTCGACACTTGAACTTTATTTTGGACTCAATCCTTAAAGTTGGATCATTTAATATATGCACATGTTTCTTAAGGATAGATGGAAATAGTTGGCTGACTTAAAGGCTTCCTTTTTGTACTTATGAGTGAATGGATCCTCTCATTCATGATGCGTTAAGCCTGTCCTTGAAAAACCTCACAATCATCCAATGAAATATATGAGACATGTTGAAGAGAAGCATTCTTCATGCAATCATGATCCGTTGTATTGAAATCAAACAACCTAACCATATTACATATCTATATTCATCAAAAACAAAAATCTTTTGATCACTTGACATTCTCCACCCTCTTTTTCTGTTTCTCATGGACCTTAAAGAGATTTTACAGTATCTTGGAAATATACAAAGATTTCTTTTAAGCTATTGGATCTTCAAAGAAGAATCTCATGAGATTGAGGGTTGACAGCATATCTTTATCGAGACTTTTCTCATAGGAAGAATTGCACTCATTGACAAAATACTATCTTCTCAACAACTAGAAATGCTCAATATTTTATCAACTAGAAGCACTTTGAGAAACTTGGTAAGAGTGAAAACTATCTGTGCAAATCTTTCAAAAGTTGAAAAATTGTCTTCTTCTTCATTTTACTCTGTATTACCAATAACCGAGGCAAAGGTTTGATTTCATAACTCTAGTGCAAATTGGACAAATGCTTTCCATTCTGTTAAAATTTGTGTTCTAGTTGCAACCAACGTTACTAGAAAAAACTTTAATTGACATTCTATTTTCAAAGTTGTCACAGAATGAACAGCGTTGAAAGAGAAGGTCACGAAATTTTTGAAGTGTGCACTGTGTGCTTTATACAAATTACCCAAATCCTCAAAAGACTCTGAATTCAAATTGCCTTTTCAAGTGCCACATTTTTTTTAGTTATCAGGTAAATGAAGATGAAATCAAAAGTCCAAGTTAGTTCAATCTTGTAAGTTTATCAGCAAGTTTTCTTCGATTTATCCAATTCGGTTCAATGAAAGACAATAAAATTTTATACAAGGATGGCAATCGCAAAAATCGTACTATTTAAAGCACTTGAAAGATCAAGGTATTCATCTTGAGAAATTGCCTATCAATGGCTATAATGTATTTCCCTTGTGAACGTTTGATTGTTAAGAATCATTCGAATCTGAAGAAAAGTTCTACAATTGCCAAACAAGCTTGCGTGATCGAGGTTCTTCTCTATTGCAAGTGTGGCTTGGCTGATGCTTTTTTTCATGAAAATTTTCCACATATGTTCCATTGAAATAGTTTAATTGATTTTGTGTCCCCTCAGTTGTAATACTTTGGAACCTTGGACTGTGTATGTCTCACTGTCCAATCATTAGCCTCGAGTTACTTGAGAAAATCTTAAACACGAGAACCCATTTGAGATAAGAAGTTCTTTTATTAAAAGTTGAAGTAGTTTTGATTTTGAAGAGCAGTTCTTTGGTTGTAAAGTCAATAGCTATCAAAGTCGGTTGAACTTCTTTTGATTCATGAGTCGTTCCTTACTGTCTTGGAAGAGGTTGAGAAGATATTACGTTGGAAATATTTCATGAGAATCCTTTTTTTTATGTTATTGATGTCTCCCAAGCATGATTGACGACATTTTTATCAAAGTTGTACAAGTGGACTGAATTCATTGACCTGCTCTGCTTAACCTTACTCCTGTCAGCGACTAACTGCAATTTCCTCGAAGCAAACAAAGATTTGTAGTGATTGCAGTTGCTACCTTTGACAAACACTCCAAACCATACCCAAAAGAAGTGAAACCAATATTTATTCCCAAGTCAACTTTTTCAAAGTCGCTCCAATTTTTTTTAAAAAAAAAATTACTATAAACAAAAGGCAACTTATGCCGTGCTACAAATTTGCAGAAAAACCATTCCATCAGCAGTGTTTAGAAAAGAAAAGCGTACAGAGTCAAGTTGAAAAGGACCAACAGTAGAACAAGACTCAGAGCTATTGGAAGTAGCTGTCACTTGGATACCTTGGCGAAAGAAACTACCAGAAAGTGAACCAAAGTCTCCTCCATTGGAACTAGAACCTTGACTTTGAACACTGCCTTCTGCCTGATCCAAAATACTTTGCGCTTGGCTCAAAGCACTGACGGAGCCTGACCCTGTACTTGAACCTAGTGCTTGAGACTTGGCACCGCCACCCAACTGACTGGAAGCAGCATTAGCTCCTGCACTAGAAGAACCACCATCACTTGAAGATGCGGTGGCACTGGAATCCACACTTGCTTGAAACAAAGGCTTTGCACAAGTTAAACTCGTACATATACATTGATCCGATACATTCCAGTAACATTTACAAACATCGTTCTCAATGTGAGCACAAGGTAAACACTTTTCTTTGTACTGCCAAACACAGCTCAAGTTTGTAGAAGCTTTGGCAGTTCCTTGTGCTGCTGCTGAACCACTAGAGCCACTTTTAGCACTGGCATTTGTACTACTTGTCACTCCGCTAGGTCCAGAAGTGCTACTTGAGGAGTCTTTTGCTGCAGCGTTGCCACTTGTTCCTGTAGTGCTTTCTGAACTTGTATTAGGAGTATCACTATCAGAAGCAGAAACCCCTTGTCCACTTCCAAAAGAGGAAGATGAAGTAGTGGTTTGTGAACCTTGAAAGTTCACTCCACTAATATTCTTATCAAAACTGGTTGAACCACTTGAACTTATTGCAACACCATCTTGACTGGAAGACGCACTAGAACCAGCTGCTGTTGAACTCTTACCATTGTTACCTGCTGTAATACCTTTGGCGTCGGCAGAGCCTACAGAAGAAGATATGGATGAACTAGAGGTGCCTTAAGAAGTAGTAGAGCTGGAATCTTCAGAAGCAGCAGAACCATTTCCAGTAGAATCGACTTGGGAGTTGGATGCGGAGGATTGCTTTCCATCAGTTGAAGAGGAGAATCCTGAAGCTTCTCCATTTCCAGAGGAAAAGGAAGAAGAAAATGTATTTGTATCTGCCATTGCAAAACTAACTGCTAATGCTATTACAAGTATAACAGTGACATATAAACAAAGATATCTCTTCATGTTTGTCAAAAAAATATTGGAGACACGAAAAAGAAGAATAGCAATATACACTTAAAATTTTTATTTCATAAAGCTATTTAAAGCATCGATGCTGACGTTTCATTTGATTAGACGTAATCTGGATAATCACAGAATTGTTACTAATTTTGGAAATTCAATGCCGCTTGCATCCACTTGGCAGACAAGTAGGCGATGGGTCCCATGACAATTACATGTTTCTAAATGCAGTCACAGCGAAAAGGAGGAAATGCCGAGGTCACCGTATTCTCCTATTATTTGCAAAATTTATTGCGATCAGTTGATACTCGAAATATACCTTTTTATAGTATCAATAACGGAAGATGGCTATTTAGCAAGAAAAAATTCATACTTCTTATATATTATAGAAACGTTTCTAGTATATCATGACGAAATTTCTATTCAAAAAAAAGTAGTTTATCCATGTTATAAACTTTGGAATGGCTTTTAGTAAGGTTCAAGTTACTTTTGAATGGACGTTGTACAGAACTTCTTTCTCAAATGATATAATGAGAAACGCTTTGGTTATATAACAAAATTGCAACTTGTGTTTGTATAAAAAACTATTCACATTACAATATTTACTGTTTCTCACACTGGATTCTTTTCTTTGCAATTACTTGTATGAAATAATGTCCATTTGTATAAATAGTATTTAACAACTCTTCCACATACGAACGGCCATACTAGTGGCACATGCGCCTGAACCCATTTCGAATTCAGAAGCTAAGCGCCCTCAGGCTTGGTTAGTACTGAGGTGAGGGATCACTCGGGAACCCAAGTGCCGTACGTTTTTTTATACTGCTTTTTAGGATTCTATGAAAAGAGAAGCCAAGTGTAAAGAGAAATAGGTGTTTTTAAATTTTTGTTATTATAGAATACAAAAGGAATCAATGTTGGCCAAGGAAACTGATTGTGAAGAAACGACAACAAAACACATACTTGTCGATGCAAGTGCAAAAGCAAGTTGAGTTTAACCAGCATTTTTCTTTCGAGTTTAGAAATCTTGAGGATTCCATAAAGCTTGGTCACAAATTGTGTCCTAACAGTATATTCTCTTTTAATTCTGGTGATAGAGCCTCAAGAAAGAACTAGAATTCAGCAACCAATTCCTTAACGACTTTAAGTAAAAAGGAATCGTCTTCAATTGCAAGAAGTTCCTTGGTCGATTTGAGGACCTTTATTCTTGTTGAGTCACATGTCTCTGCTAGTCAAACTCTTGTGTTCACTTTTGACTAGAATAATAATATTAGATGCAGTGAAACTTCGCAAAGGTTGCCTGTCATAACAGTAGCGCAATTCATCGACAAGGTTGTTGTATTGAGTTGAAAGTGGTGCCTTGAAAGTAAATTCAAGTATTCCACCGTGCAGAGCAAAGTTGTCTGTCAAAGGTTCTCATTATATCATATCACGTACTACTCGAAGAATCCCTTATAGTCCCGTCTATGGAAGACTTTTTTGTCAAGGCTGTTCAACAATAGCTGAGCAAGGATTCAATTACATTGACTATCACTAGTCTTTGAAACTTTTACCACTTACGTCCCCTTGAGGCAGTTTTACTAGATATTATAGTTGGCCTTGGACTCTTCTGCTTCTCAATTGTCAAGGCCATTTTTGAATACATTTCCCTCTTCAAACTCATCAGAAGAATCGGTGTTTGCTGTGGCTTTCAAATTGTGATTCAAAACGCATGACGGTCTCAAGAGTGTTGCTATCTAGAATGCATAGGAAGGTTCGAATAAGGCATTGATCGAGAGAGAATCTTTATTCTTCTATAGTCTCCCTGAACCAACATGTCATTTTTACTCAGTACTGCATTTATTTATTTATAGATAATCTGTCATTTTTTTTTATAAACATAACATGGTCCTCATATATATATGATGCAACAATAATTCTTCCATCCAAATTCTCAACTTTTCAAACATCATTCACGAGACTATGATGACTTGCTAACTTTGCAACAAAAAATAAAAACCATTGGATACATTCATAAGAATATGCAGATTCTAAAATTTGAAAGAAAAAGTAAACTTGAGAAGATTTCCAGAAGGGAACAGGCCACATATACTTCGATTTCACATTACTCTCTCGTCAGGTATGTGTCCTTGGCATTGCTAGATACAAGTAGAAGTTACTCGACGCATATTTGCAATAAATAGTGAAAAAACTACAAATTCTAGGTATAATAACGACGAAGTAGTTTCTGGATCATTCCTTGCATAGAAACCACAAGCAGATCAAGCAAATTCTTAGTCAATGAAACTTTTGTTCTCAACTTGCTCGTTCAAGTATTCAAAAGCTGACCAATTTGCATAAGTGACAAGCTTGTGTCTTTACGTGCCAGCCAAACAACAATGAGTTCGAAGATTGAGTGCACACATCCTCTCTTTTTAGTTAAACTCAACCAGCGTTTTTCAACACAAAAAACATAGTTTTATTCGTCCGTTTTCATGGAAAATATAAAAGCTTACAAACAGAGATAAGCTTTGTTGTTGTAAGCTTCAATTAGAATAAAAGCACAAAGAACTCTCTCATTTTCTCTCTCTCTCTCCCTCTACCACCTTCCACTCTATGTTCTAAAAAGAATGTCCCTCAATAACACAAATTTGAAAGCAGCTGATTATTCTTTCATTTCTGTGTTTTCTTTCAATAATACTGCAGCTCTTAGAATTTTTTGAATGTATTGCTCTGGTATACCCATCAACTCTAGTGACTTTCTTCGAATCACTTGAGGATTATCTCCAAATATACGAGGAAATGTCAAAGCATAACGAGTGGCAACTTCTTCCGGTAATAACGCAGACTTGCAAAGAAACTCTTTCCAGTCAAAATGTGTATTTATACCACTCGATACTTGTTCTCTTCTTGTTTTATCTTTTTCCAGTTGTATAGAACTTTGAAAACCTTCCATTCGCATACGATTCTCCTCATTTATTCTCCGTCCCATATGTTGAGCCACTCTTGAAATAACATTTGATTGCTCAGCTTCCAAAGATGAAACATATTCATTGGACATCGACTCAAAGACAGTTTTGCACCATACTGAAAAGTCTTTACTGAACTCTTCTCGGTTTGCTTTCCCAATTTTCCTCAAAATATCGACATTATCTATTCCCAAAAATCGTTCAAGGTTCCTTTGGGAAACAACTATCAATTGCATACATGATCGACTACTTTCATTCAAAGTTGACCCAGTAGCAGAATGTTCAGTTACCAAATAACTTGCATCCTCAACAATATTTTGTTCTTCAACAGAGAAACCTACAGATCGATCATATCGAGTACAAACTACCACCACAAACTGAAAACAAAGTTGAACAGATGAAGGAGATCCGTCATTCAAAACGGAAATAACTTCTTGGAAAAATTGTTTTGCTTCCTTCTCAATATCTCTCTTCGAAAATTCAGTTTTGTGATAAAATGTAAATGAAAATCCAACAACATAACGTGTTTGTCCATTATGGAATACAACATATGCATCAGGACCACTCGAATTGCCATCTTTTGGAACAAAAATACCACAACGTTGTAAATATTTTCCATAATGGTCAGAAAATGAATCAGAGACATCTCTCAAGATGGGTATATCATAACATATTGTTGATTCCATAGAATAAGAAACATTGTCCTGTTCAATAAAAGAACCCTGGAAAATTCCTGGAATAGCAGAATGTACAATAGGCGAGGAATTAGAATGAAGAAAAGTTAATAAGCGAAAGCAAAAGATCTTCATAAATACAAATTCAAAGAAGACTCCTTTTGCTGTTGAAGTGTCGGGAATATAACTAAACGGAGATAAAGGAAAGAGTTCAGTAGCCTCACGGAAAAAGTTATAGTTGCTATGAGCTCGCAATATAAATTCACAACAACCAATCTTGAACTTTGTGCCCAAATCAATCCCGTCAGTTTCACAAATTTCAGAATAAAACCCAAAAGTTGCAACCAAGTCCATCAAATAAGTTCTCGTTCCACATAGAGTAGTTGCAAATCCGATTGGGAAAATCGTTCCGAGTTGATAACTCAAAAGGACAAATTGATATCGAAGAAGGGTTGCGGAATCTAGTATCTCCGGAATAATAAAAGTTCCCGACTCATTTAGTATATCTTCAAAGACACTATCTAATAAAAATTCCATATTGTCATCGTTGATAGCAGGTTGAGATAAGTTTGCAACTTTCTCTACTAGGGCTAATAAAGTATTCCTTACAATCAACGGAATACCTCCTGTCTTCCTTTTCAACAATTCTACGAATCGATGTCGTAAATCATCTGACGGCAATAACCAGTCCTTCAAGGACTTTCCATCATAAGTTGCCAGCTCAATATATTCGTTAATATCATGGAGATTAAAGGGATTCAACCGCAACATACGGAGACTCACTCTACTGGAGCGAGTATCAGACAAGGGGGCTGAGATTTCAGCAGTTCGACCTGCCAAATAGACAATTACCTTCCCTGTAATCAAAAAACTACGCAGAATGCGGAAGAAATTCCGAAAAGGTACATATTTTGGGTCAGACTCGACAAACTGTTTCATGGTAAGTTCACTATAGTATTTGGTGAGGTCACTCAGATGACTAAGTTCGTCTATCATCAAAAATAAATATTGTTTCTCAAATTGTTCGAGAAGATAATCAATAGCTCCTACAGTATCGAATTTCTTTACCATCCTCTGAGCCATCTGAAGAGCGTCCGTATCTTTACCATTTTGTCGGTAAGCGTTCAAAATTATATTATACATCAAAGCCTCTAGAAACCTTGGAAAAGGAGCACGAGAAAAGCTCTCTTCTAATTGAAAGTAAACTGACAAAGTGTTTTCCGCAAAGTGTTTCCAAGAAAAAATTTTCAAATCAACTTTTCCCGATGAGCTCTTGTTGAAAACCTCCGTCTTCGTCTGCTCTTCTTCTTCGTCGGCGAATTTTTTTAGAAACTCTAAAAAATTTTCACCAACAAAACTCTTGCCAGCCCCAAAGATGTGAGGGGAGAAACAAGCTGCAGGACGTGGAGTATTCAAGTCTCCCCTAACTCGAGGAAACTGGTAGTAATAAGTTCGAAGAATAGAATAAACATCTTCTTTTCTATCTATCAACGGTTCATTCAAACTCATTTTACACGCCGACGCCAATCCGAAATCAATTCACAACTAATGAATAAGTCAATCAACGACCAAAACTTTCAAAGAAGCTAAGAACAAAACACTTGGAGGAGGAGAAAGGAGTTGGAAGAGAGTGTATGTTTTATTGTTCGAGCGATTGCTTTATTTGGTGATTGGTAGAACTGATCTCTTTGACACTTCTAGACTCACAATGACAATAGAGAGAAAGCCGGAATATTTTCTTGCTTGTCATAACTAGAAACTTTCTTTTACTATAGACAAGAAATAGGTTTCTATGAGTTTTTGTGGTGAATTAGATTGATTGGTACTCTTTCTATGGCTTGTATACTGTAAGAGAGTTTTTCTACTATCTTCCACACCATCTTACACGCAAACTCCTATATACATGTCTCATAGCTTTTTGTAAGTTACAGACGAAATACAGTGGGAAACAGAGAATTGCAGTGAATGGGAAGTCTATTCGTGTGGAACTGGTCGTAGCACAGTTTATAAATACAAAAGTGTCTAAATGAGTTTGGAGAAGAGTATTATGTAGACTGTCATACTGACTTATCATTAAATACAAGCTGTTATGGATGTAATAGCTACACAAGTTGTCTATCCTTTGTTCGACTTTTACCAAGTTGTGAATATGTGGTATATAAAAATATCAATTGAGGCTTCAAATGTAGTCACTATAACCGTTCATTTTCTGCACATCGATGCTGAAAAAAGAGTAAAAGACAGAGCCAAAAAATTGTTTTACTAAAGAAGTCGTCTTTTATACTTGAGTCAAGGTCGAGTAGTGTACCAACTTGAAAGCTTCAGCAATTCTCCAACTGAAAGCCACTCCATATTGAAGAACTTTTACCCAACACGACTCTTATGTTGGCTGAAATACGTTGTAGTTCCTAAGTTATCGGTCAAGTGATTGTTGTGTACAAACAACCTTTTTCGTTTCAGTCTTTGAAAATTATAGTAAAAAAG